ATTTCTGTTTCCTATGAAAGGTTTTTATTTCAAATTCATTCATAAATGAGAGCTTTTCAGGATATAGTATTCTGGGTTGACAGTTGTTTTTTTCTCTTTAGACTTGGAAAATATCTCACTATTCTGTCCTAGCCTGTAGAGTTTCTGATGAGAAGTCAGTTGTGAGTCTAATGGGAGATCCTCTAAAAGTAATCTGGCATTTCTCTTGTGTACATTTTTGAATCTTTTCTTTATGTTTTACTGTGGAGAGTTTGACTACAATATGTCATGATGAAGATATTTTCTGGTCATATCTATTAGGAGTTCCCTGTGCTTCCTGTACTTGGATGCCTCTTTCTTTTTCCAAATTAGGGAAGTATTCTGTTATTATTTCACTAAAGAGGCCTTCTAGTTCTTTCTCTCTTTCCACACCTTCAGGAACTCTCAGTACTCATATGTTGGGTTGTTTGACAGTATCCCATAGATTTTCAACATTATTTTTTAGTTTTCTAATTTTTTTTTTTGGTCTGACCATAAAATTTCCAGAGATTTGTCTTCTAATTCCGATATTCTTTCTTCTGCCTCACTGATTCTGTTGTTAAGGCATTCCACAGCATTTTTTATTAATTCTATTAACTTCTTCATTTCTAATATTTAATTTTTATTTATCTTTAAAATCAATTTCATGAGAAAAATTTTTGTTCATTTCACATACAGATTTCTTTAGTTCATGGATTTGCTTCTGGTTACTTCTAAGTTATCCTATGATAATTTTTTTGAATTACATTTCTGGCATTTATTCAGTCTCTTCATTTTCACATTATAGTGTTGTGTTCCTTTGGCAGCATCAGGTTGTCTTCCTTATTCTTGTTTCTTGAATTGCTGTGTTTATTTTTAGGCATTTGTGGGGATAATTGCTGTTGTTTTCCAGTGATGGTTATTATCTTTGGACTATGACTCTGTGGCTCAGAGTAGCGGCTGCTCTTTCATTGTCTGAGGCATGTGCTGGGTGTGGCCAGGGAGCTCTGTTCAGTGCTCCAGAGTGAGGGTAGTATCCAAGATTATTCCCAAATTGGTTGTAGTATATCTACTCTTTTTTTTTAAAGAGGGGAAGTTTGTTCAGCTCTGTTGGCATATGGCATAGTCTTCTCTCCTATTCTCCTCCAAGGAGACCAATGTCAGGGTGCTAGCCCCAGTCAGTACAGTATTCTGCACTGCCACAAGAACTACACAAAGGATCCACACAGCATGGATATTCCAGCAGTAAATCTCACTAGGGAATCAGGGAGCCCTGAGCATGTGGAACCACCCACAGTGACTGCCCAAATACCCAGTGAACCCTGCACCCTTACACACAGCCACAGTGTTTTAACATTCACAGCACACAAGGCCCCACAACCATGAGCACACAGCTCCCTTCAATTCTCTCAGTCAGACTGAGGTATCTCCTCTTAGCTGGCTGTTGTGTGTGGACATAAGCTGGCTCAGCTGTTATGTATGTCCAAAATGGCGGCTGCCTGCTTTTAGGTAGTTACAGGATACTGGTGCCAGGTGGTTGGGAGAGAGAAATGTTGCTCCCCTCCCCCTTTTTCCCCTCTATGTTGACTGGTATACTTACCCTGACAGAGTTCCTAGCTGGACTCACACCAGGCTCTTCCTGCAGCTTTATCTCCAGTAGCTTGGGATGCTGCAGTTTGGTCTCACCTCACTCTCCAAAGCTGGTGCTGAGGCACTTGGCTGCTGGAGTCCTGAGTTGTACATGTCCACAATCTCTACATAGATTCACAGTGTCCCACTGATATTCCTGGAATTTCCTCTTCTGTTTTCTCCCTAACTTTTCTCTGAGATTGCTATCTTTCTTTTTAAAAATTATCTTCCCCTAGACTAGGGAACTAAGGTCCCTCCCTATCCCACCATTTTGGTACCAACCTGCTCTGCAAAATGCTTTTTATTGGAAACATCACATTTTTTTTTACAGGCAGAGTGGACAGTGAGAGAGAGAGAGACAGAGAGAAAGGTCTTCCTTTGCCGTTGGTTCACCTCCAATGGCTACCGCGGCCGGCGCGCTGTGGCCTGCGCACCACGCTGATCCGAAAGCAGGAGCCAGGTGCTTCTCCTGGTCTCCCATGGGGTGCAGGGCCCAAGGACTTGGGCCATCCTCCACTGCCTTCCTGGGCCACAGCAGAGAGCTGGCCTGGAAGAGGGGCAACCGGGACAGAATCCGGCTCCCCAACCGGGACTAGAACCCGGTGTGCCAGCGCTGCTAGGCAGAGGATTAACCTATTGAGCTGCGGTGCCGGCCTTCCTTTTTTTAAAGATTTATTTATTTATTTTAAAGTCAGAGTTACACAGAGAGAGGAGAGGCAGAGAGAGAGAGAGAGAGGCAGAGAGAGAGAGAGAGAGAGAGAGTGTGTGTCTTCCATCCACTGGTTCACTCCCTAATTGGCCGCAAAGGCTGGAGCTGCGCCGATATGAAGCCAGGAGCCAGGAGCTTCTTCCAGGTCTCCCACGCAAGTGCAGGGGCCCAAGGATTTGGGCCATCTTCTACTGCTTTGCCAGGCCATAGCAGAGAGCTGGATCAGAAGTGGAGCAGCCGGGTCTCAAACCAGCGCCCATATGGGATGCCGGCGCTTCAGGCCAGGGTGTTAACCTGCTGTTCCACAGCGCCAGCCCCAACATTACATGTTTTGAAGACAGTCAGACTTAAGGTTAAATCCCTGTCTTACCACTTACAGGATATCTGACTCAGAACCTCAGGTTTCATATTTGTCTTTTCACTTTACTAGACTGCAGAAAGGGAGGTACTTGTGATTGTCTCATGAATGAAAGCAAATAAAACCACTAGAATATTAGTGAACACTCAATACATATTAGTTCACTTTCACTGTAAAAGTTTGAAAATAAACAGCACTTCTTGGATTATGTTTGTAAATTGAATTTATTTTGAATAGACAATTTATTCTCATTGTATATAATTAGAAACATTCTTGGGGCTGGTGTTGGGTGCGGCAGATTAGGCCTCTGCCTGTGACCCCAGCATCACATATGAATGCTGGTTTGAGTCCTGGCTATTCTACTTCCAGCAGCTCCCTGCTATTGCCCCTGGGGAGGCAGTAGAAGATGACCAAAGTGCTTGGGCCCCTGAATCCATGTGAGAGACCTGGACGAAGCTCCTGGTCCTGGCTTTGGCCTATCCAACCTGGGCTATTGCAGCCATTTGGAGAGTGAAGCAGCTGATGGAAGAGCTTTCTGTATCTGTATCTCTTTGTATCTTTCTGTATCTCTATCTTTGTCTCTCCCTCTCCCTCTGTAATTATGCCTATCAAATAAATAAATAAATCTTTAACAAAAATGAAATATCCTCATTTGTAAGGGTACAATAAACAGGTCAACAACATCCTTAAAAATGCAGTGTAATAAACCATGGAGATGGTATTGTGGTGCAGTGGATTAAGCCAAGCCACTCCCTCTGATAGTGGCATCCCATCTTCACTCCACTTTGAGTTCTGGCCGCTCCACTTCTGATCCAGCTCCATGTTAATGCACCTGGGAAAGTAGAGGAGGATGGCCCAAGTACTTGGGCTCCTGCACCCGCATGGGAGATCCGGAAGAAGCTCCTGGCTCCTGGCTTCAGATTGGCGCAATTTCTGTTTGCTATGAAAGGTCTTTATTTCACCTTCATTCACAAATGAGATACAATATTCTGGGCTGGCAATTTTTCTTAGTACCTGGGCTATGTCTCGCCATTCCCTTCTAGGTTGTAGGGTTTCTGATGAGGAGTCTGCTGTGAGTCTAATTGGAGATCCTCTGAGAGTAATCTGACGTTTCTCTCTTGCACATTTTAGAATCTTTTCTTTATGTTTCACTGTGGTGAGTTTGATTACAACGAGTCGTGCTGAGGATCTATTTTGGTTATGTTTACTAGGGGTTCTATGAGCTTCCTGTACTAGGATGTCTATAATGAAAGAAAGCAGATCATCACTTCCTGGGGGCAGAGACATATGCAGTACAAAAGCCACTTTGTAAGAAACTGAAGCACCAACATTTGTAGAAAGCAGTTAGAGATGATGGATATATTCACTTTCTCGATTTTAGGGATGGTTTCATGAGCATACTCATGTTAAAAATGATAAAATTGTACACTTCATATGTATGCAGTTTATTGTACATCAATTATACTCAATAAAGTTATTTTAGAAACTGATTCAATGTGTCATACATTAAATATTTACTTGCTTGTGCAACAGTGAGCTGTCCAGGGTTTTCCTGATCGAATATGAGTTCTTGGTTTAGCTCTAGACCATGGGGTCTAGGTATGCTCCAGTTGTCTCATTCTCCTTGGACCAGTGAGCTACTTCCATCAAGTTCTTGTCATGGTAACAGCAAATGAGATTAACCAGAAATGAACAATATATAAGACCTCAGACTGTGACCAGTACAGTGTCAATTCAACCCAAATTTCAATGCCTGACTTCAAGTCATATGTCCATGCCCAAAATCAATGGAGGTAATAAACCTTTCCCACTTTAGTGGCTCAAATTGAAAAACAATTGAAACTATTCGGTCTAGCACATATATATGCAATGAAATGTCCCCATTACATCCCCTATCCTCTCAGTTTTCCTTCCTTGAAACAACCAAGTTTATCTAATTTCTTGTGTCTTCTCTGATTATATCCGTATGTTAATAAATATAGCTTCTTATTTCACACAAGTGATTTTATACCACAGCATTATTTTATGTTTGCTTTTTACTTTATTTTATTTATTTTGAAGATTTCATTAACAGAATATAAAGAGCTTTCCTGTTCCTGTTTTACTGTCATCATATGTTATGTACTATAAATCTAGACAATACATTAATGTATGTTTGTTTGGCTGTTTTTTTAAGTTATTTGCTATTACAGAAAATGTAGCGACTAGCTAAACATACACTTCAATTTGTACATGTAAAATCATATTTGGATACATCTGAAGACATTTTTAAAAGTTCCTATAACAACAAATTTTATTTTGATTTAGGTCTTGCCAGTGGAAATACCCTGATGAAACCAGAACTGAGCATTCAGGGAGATCAAGTGATGATCCAGGCTGGTGGAACATTTGACATTACCTGCAGGTAATAATATCAAATTCCTTGATCTTGTCTGATTAAAAAACCCCCAGTAAGAAGTTAAAAGAATTTAAACTTTTTTTCGTACTAAATATTTTTAAAAATTTATTTTATAGTCATAGATAATAAGCTCTAGATGCGCTGGTTTCTTGCAGTTGGTTTTCACATTTTGTGCTTCTTGGGGTGAAACAGGCTAACCTTGGAGTTGACTCCATGTGGCTTTTTATTTTGTTTATTTCTTGTTGTCATTATTTTCTTTCACACATTCAAGAGAAGCTAGTTTGCCTATTATAGCACTTAATACACCTAATATGTACATTAATTCTATTGGCAAGAATCTTGCTCTTAAATTGTTAGTTTACAGTGTTGCCAAAGCATGGTGTATGACACTGTGGATTAAGTTTTCTCATGGTTACACTTTTGTGGTATTCTTTATTGAATGTTACCTATTTCCTTGATACCTACCATATCATTTTCATGTAGATGTGTGTGCATGTAGCACAAGTAACTTTGTGCTTCCAAAAATATTTAGAGAACATATAGTAGGTCCCTTTTTTCTTTCTCTTTATACTGTTTCTTTTGGTGAATTAGTAGAAACATCAATTATTGTAGAAATAGATTTAGGTTTGAAAGACTCAACAGTGTTTCATATTTTAAGAACAGTAGGTGTGGATGTGTGGGAGATGAGTTGAATATGTGAGAATTGTTTACAGAAACTGGTTGGGAGCTGAAACTATATAAATAGATTAGGGTAATAAGGGAGAGTGTGTTAGGTGAGGAAAAGAGCAAAGTAAAGGTCATAATTTTGAGAATAACCTCCAGATGGGAAGGAAGGGAAATTGGAAGAAAATGTGGAGAATAGGTGGGAGGAAGAAACAAAGAACTGTGTTCTAAGGGAGAGGAGATTTTCCAGGAAGAAGTCAAATTCTGTAGTAGATAGAGGAGCAAGCACTCAGTAAGTGTGTATTGAATTTAACTGAACTGAAAGAAGTGCAGAGTGTCCCTCCTTCTTTAAGATAGTCTATTCCTCATTGTATCATTAAAGATTAGATTAGGATACATGCAACACAAAATCTAAATTCACCTTGATTTTTAGACACAAGGTTTAATTATTTCATAGAAAAAGGACAAAATGTGGATATCTGGGTTGGAATTCCAGTTCCATGAAATCATTAGAAATTCAAATTCCTTAACCAATGGTTTCCAGCATTTGGTCCCAAATGACTACTCAAACACCAGCCATCATGTCTGGAAAGCTGGTTAGAAAAAAACAAAGAAGAGTAAAGACAAGCATGCTTTCTACATTTAAGGACACATCCCCAAATTTTACACACTATTTATACTTATAGCCCTTGGACCAGAGCTTAGTCATGATTGACTGCAAGAGAGGCTTGTAAATATTCTGTTGTTTTCCCACAGGATGTTATATGCTCAACTGAATAATGAAGATTTTATTAATATGAAAGGGGAGAACATGAGTTACATTAGGTATAGTCTAATGGTAGTGGTGATATGTAATTTCTGTTCCCATAACATCACAGGATGGTAATGTCTTCTCATCCTGGGGACTATAAATTGTTTTTTAAAGATTTATTGTATTTATTTGAAAGTCAGAGTTATACAGAGAGAGGAGAGGCAGAGAGAGAGAGAGAGAGAGAGAGAGAAAGGTCTTCCATCTGCTGGTTCACTCCCCAGTTGGCTGCAACGGCCGGAGCTGCACCAATCCAAAGCCAGGAGCCAGGAGCTTCTTCCGGGTCTCCCATTCAGGTGCAGGGGCCCAAAGACTTGGGCCATCTTCTACTGCTTTCCCAGGCCATAGCAGAGAGCTGGATTGTAAACGGAGCAGCTGGGACTCGAACCAGCGCCCATATGGGATGCTGGCGCTTCAGGCCAGGGCTTTAACCCACTGTGCCACAGCGTCGGCCCCGTGGGGACTATAAATTCTTGTTCTGTCTTCCATGTACCGACCTTTTCTCTAAGCTGTCTGGTCTTGTAACAGTAAGGATGAGTTTTGTTCAGGGAATGTGAGTCAGACTTCAGGTTCTTGAGGATTATCTTTTCCTTGCCATGTGGGCCCGTCCAGCCATTTCTTTAGGTGTAAAGTATGATTAAGAGAAGGCCTCAGTGCATTAACAGTCCCTGCTTATATATGTCCACTTTACTTCAGCGATCCTGAATGGCATCTGGCCTATTAGCCAGCAGTTAGAAGAGCTATCTCCAAGTGCCCTCATGTGTCTTTCCTGGTCATGTTCCAAGTATCATACTTGTTCCCTGTGTCTTTACTAAGACCTTATAAATCTTATCTCTCATTAACCATTGATTTTAAGCACTTACCCCTAGATGATGCATGTGAGACAGGCTTGGCTCTGCAAGGGGGCAGGTATCTACTTCAGGTGGAGATTTGTGTCAGTGCTGGGAGGATTCCAGAGAAAGTGCTTCCTGGACACAGACTAATAGTGCCTGAGGTGGGAGTGGAGGAATAAAAAAGGAGGTATGGTTTGTGAAGCCACAGGTAATTTCTCAGAAGGATTGTGAAATACAGGGAGCTCCTCTAAACCCCTACACAAATGGGAAAATTGGGGTCTGAAATGGTGACAATATTTGCCCAAGTTTACACAACTGGACATGTGCAGGGCTGTTATTTTATTTCCACTATACTCAAATGAATTTTTGAATGTTCATTACCTATCACATTTAAATGATTTTAGATGTGTATTTTTTACTGGTTCATGTATACACTTCCTCAGTAATTGTATGGAAAACAGTTTGTTGATGTAGACAAATTGTAATCCTTACCCTTAGTATCAAATATTAAATAAATTAATAACTAAAAGAAGAATTTATTGTGTATTTAATTAAGCAGGAACCATGTTCTGGCTAGTGGTGACAATGGCTGTATTTGCACACCTGGGTAAGACATACTGTGATTCTAGAGGATCACCTCATAGTTGAATGAAAAAGACAAATTCTCTCAAAGTCTAAGTTGAAGGGAGCAAGAACTCTTTACTGGAAATGTCAGGACCTATTTGGAAAGAAGGAAATTTAGGAAAAAAGAATAACATTAAACACTGTCTTAGAAGTTGGACTATACATCTTTCAAAGATGTTTTAAGTACCTAACTTATTTAATTCCACATAAATTCCATGGAACAGACATAAAAACGGACTGTTATCTTCATATATGAATTCAACAAGTATTTAGTTAGCACCTGCTAGGCACTGGACTAAGGTGAAGATGATATGACACGGAACAAAATGGTCAAATATTCCTGCCCTTTTAGGGCTGACATTTTTATAGGAGAGACAAAACATTAAACATGATAAAGAAAAAATGTGTATTAAAAGATGACAAAATACTGTGGAGAAGTACCAGGGTAAAGGTGTTAAAAGTGAAGAGGAGAGGCTGGCACTGTGGCTCTCTTGGTTAATCCTCCGCCTGTGGCACTAGCATCCCATATGGACGCCAGGTTCTAGTCCCGGTTGCTCCTCTTCCAGTCCAGCTCTCTGCTGTGCCCCTGGAGGGCAGTGGAGGATAGCCCAAGTGCTTGGGCTCCTGCACCCGCATGGGAGACCAGGAGGAAGCACTTGTCTCCTGGCTTCAGATTGGCGTAACTCTGGCCATAGCAGCCATTTGGGGGGTGAACCAACGGAAGGAAGACCTTTCTCTCTGTCACACTCTCTCACTGTCTAACTCTGTCAAATAAATTTTTAAAAAAAGTGACGAGGAGATATTTCTTCAAACAGGTTGGTCAGAGTAGAAGTGTCATTTGAACATAGAGTGAAGGAGGGAACCACACAGGTATTTGGAGGAGGAGTTTTACAGAGAGAAGAAATGGCAAAAATGAAATGACCTTGATATAGGAACAGCTTGGCCTGTCAAGGAGACCAAGGAGGATGGGATGGCTGGAACAAAATAAATGGTAGGGACACTAGGACAATAGGCTATAGAGGGGTAACAGCCCTGTGGTAGACTACAGTAAGGGTTTTGAATTTATTCTGAGTGTTATGAGAAACCATTGGAAAAATTAAGCAGGAGGATGGCATGACTTAATACATTTCACATGATAAATCTCATTCTGGTTGCATTGAAGGATATAAGGTACAGGGGGTCAAATGTTAGGAGGCTACTAATATAATCCAGTTAAGAGACAAAGAGGGCTCTGACCAGGATGCCCACAGTGGAGGGAAAGAGCATTGGTCAGGTTCTCAATAGATTTGAAGTTAAGGCTCACAGGATTTTATGATAGATTGGAAGTGAAAGTGTGGAGTGTGGAGTAGAAACAAAAAGATTCAGGGATGATGGTCATGACAGATATTGCTGCTAACAATACCATTGCTTTGGTACTTATTCTGTGCTAAGCTTTGTTCTAAGTAATTTGCATGGATTAACTCATTAAATCCTCACAATAAATCTTAAATCCTCTAAGTTAAAAACTTAAATCCACTAAGTTCCATAAGCTGTACTTCACAAATGACAATAATAAGGCCTGGGTAAGAGAAGTGATTTGCATAAGGTTCCAACACTAGAACCCAGGACTTTTGATTCCTAAGCCTGTGGATTTTCCCTTGTGCCAATATACCTGCAACTATCCATACTTACTGAGGCTTGGCAAGTCTGTGGAACAGGATGAACTCACACTGTTTTGCCCAGCTGCAGCTGAGACTGACCATGCTTCTTCATGTTGGAGTTGTGTCACTCTTTTCAGTTGTGTCTTGGTAATGCTTCCTTTGTACATTGCCGAAGTTCCCAAACTTCAAATAACAGGCCTTTGAAGTTCTGGCTGACAAATACGGCATGTCATAGCACTGAGTCAGCTTGTGAGAAAGTCCAGGATTTTCAGAATGCCTGTCATTCTCCCCAGGAAATTACCAGGACTAGGGGATCTAGTCACTGTAAACATCTAACTACTCAGTCCTAAGCCCGAGAATTGGCTATCAGAGTCTCCTGAATTCTATTGCTCTTGCTGGAATATTTTCACGTGTGTCTAATTGGGCTCAAACCAATATTCAGGAAGGATACTGGCACATCTTTAGAGATGGGAGCTTAGAATCAGATGTGTGGTGTATGATCTCACATGGCCAGCGTCCTCCTTGCTGCACCCCCTAAAGGCTACACATTCTAGACCTTTATATTTGCTCTCCTTCCCATGGCTGGTCCCTCTAAAGATCTTCGTATCCTGGCCACCCCTTCTTTATTACCCAAATGATCATGTGCCACATTTTCATTAAATCTGCTCATCCAGTGCATGCCTAACTGGTGCTTGATTATTCTGATAAAACATATTTCTACTAATTCCTTTTAGAGGCATTAGGAGTTAAACTCCATTGGACACAAAATTTTTTTCTTATTTTGAGGCCAAAACCATCAGAGATTTCATTGGTGATAAAGTGGGCTACCTTGAGGTGAAAGAATGTTAGGAGTTTGTCATCACTAGAGGTATTGGAACTAAGGTTAAGATTCCGCAGAAGGAATTTGAGAATTCTATCAGTGCTTGGATTGTGGGAATCAACAACTTATAGCCAATGTAGCCAATTATTTCAGGATGTATAAACTAAGAATGTGCTTCCATTTTTAAAGGGTTTGAAAATAAGTATAATATTTTAACAGAGACTTGAAAAGCCTAACATTTTTATGTGGCCCTTTATAGAAGCCTTTTACCTTTTCCTGAAACACAAGAGGCTACCTGCTTGTCAACTTCCCTGTGCTGGGGACAGGGAAGACCATGTGGGCTGTTCCTAGGAGAGGATTTTGCAGCCCACATGGGGTCAGACAAGGGATATTATGCAAAGCAATCAGAAACACAGAGCATGCAGGTATGAAGACCAGTTTGGCTTGTTGGCTCTAAAAGGTAGGATTGACACTCTAGTCAGGTGAGGCAACAAGGAGTCAGAAAATGGCAACTAAAGGAACACATTTCTCATGATTCCAAGGCTCAACAAAGACAAGAGTTTCAGATGCCAGCTGGGCCTGGTGCAGAAGGTATGTTAGTTTTCTTGGGTTATCATAATACAGTCCTACAGACTGGGTGGCTTAAAACATGAGTATATTTTCTCATAGTTCTGGAGGCTAGAAGCCCAAGATAAGGTATTGGTTGAGTAGTTCTCCTTTCTGCTTGGTTTGCAGATGTCTGCCTTTTCATTTTCTTCACATCGCATTTTCTCTGTGTGTACATATCCCCTATGTCTCTCTGTATGTCCCAATTTCCTCTTCTTAAAAGGACACCAGTCAGATTGGATAAAGGCCCACCCTGATGACCTCATTTTAGCTCAGTCATCTCTTAAAATGCCCTGTCTCCAAATATGGTCATGTTATCATGTGCTAGAGGTTAGGGCTTAAACATACAAATTTGAATGATACACAACTCAGTCCATAAAGAGGGGGCCTGGATATAACTTACTTTAAGTCAGTGTGGCTCTCAGGGCACTCAGTTGAGTTGAGTACTTCAGAACGGGGCCAGGCATGCCCTATAGAGGCCAGAGTACAAGTAGAAAGAACCTCTAGTGGTAGTTAGAAAACAGCCAATGGATAGGACAGAAGAGCCATGCTAAAGAACTTGATTTGAAACTTTTCCCCTCTCACTTAACTGAGGCACATTCTATTTCTGATCTCAGGGTTCAAGAGCCTGGGGGACAGGTCCTGCGATGTTGCTGTTTATCAAACCCCTTTCTTTATCTTGTTTACTCATTGCTTTTCCATAAGAACCTCCCCTCCCCTGTATGGACTTTCTAACAATTTTAACCATAGTCGTGGTTATCACCTTTTCAAAATGGTGGAAAACATTTCTCTTTTGGGGAAGGTGTTCAAAATGAACAATTGCTCCCCACACTTATTCATGATCTGCTTTTTGCTCACTTCAATGACATTAGCCATGATGGACAGTGTTCTACCAAATGTGTGAATGCTGGAGGTGCTATGATACAATGTGGAGAAAGGTATCATTGATGTGAGAACTGGAGTCACACCTGGATCCAGCTCGCCTACTGTCTCCTATATATTTTGATGGCTTGCTTTGACAAAGTTCTTTCTCATAACATATCTTAATTATTCTTAACAACACCAACAAGAGAGAAGGATTACTACTCCTGTCTTACAGATAAGGAACCTGAGACCTAGAAACTTAAATAACTAAAAGCCACAAAAAACAGTGATAGTGTTGAGATTCAATATCCAAGTTCTTTTTTCTTTCTCATTATTTTTCAGTTATTGCACCACATTTTTTCTTGCTGTGAGAATGTAGGAAAAAGGAAAGAATAAGCCTTAGTGGGATAAGGATTTAAGGTCCATTCATTTTGTCCACCTATGGAAGAAATGCAGTATATTTAAGCTTATGTTTGTTCCAGGACCCTTCCCATGGAATGCAAGGAGTTTAATACAGCCATACACCATTTCAGAACTCATTTCCTAGAAAACATTTTAAAATTCAGTGAGGCAATGAAATATAATGGAAAAAATAAAACCTAGATTGAGAACTTAAGACTTTCAAGTTTTGATACTTCCGGAAGTTTACTGGGCAAAGCCCTTTACCTTCTGAGCCTTGGTGTCCTCACTTAGCAAGTCGAAACAGTAGAGCTGGAAAGGAACTCAGAAATCACTTAATTCAGTTTTCCTCATACCTTTAAGTGTTTATCGTCAAAAACTCCAAAGCCCACCTATTGGTAGAATGAGCTTTTTGGGGGAGATGAAAATTGAAGAGAAGAGCTGCAGTGGAGGAGAGAGACAAAGTCTTGACTTGTGTTTTTGGATCCTAGTTAGGTTTCAGATGCTCCTCAAGCCCACAGTTGTGTTCCAGTGCCAGTCCTCTCATGGGCACCAAACTATTTGCAAGAGCTTCCGCTTCAGAACTATGGTTAGAGGGCTGGGGTAAGGTTGCTTCTTCACTGTCACATCAAGGCCTGACCTACATGCTTTTGTGTGTGTTGCATTCTCAGAGGATTGGCTGCCATGATATGGACCTGGGGCAGTGAGCCTGCAGGGAGTCGGGCCCGCATCTTGGAGCACCCCTGTGCTGATAACCCGGTTGTCACTTGCAATCAGCTCACCATTTTCCACACAGAAGCTGGTGACACTGGCTACTTTACGTGTAGCTATAAGGACGTTGATGACACTGAGGATCCTAATGGCAAGACCAGTGTGTACGTGTATGTCAAAGGTGAGTGGGTATTCTTGCCTTTAGGCTGAAGGATTTTGCCTTCTTGCTGGATATCTAGATACCTAAAACCCTTGGTAACCTTGGAACAGGTTACAGTGACTTTCTGTGAAGAGGATAAAGAGAAGGAAGAAGATGATAGGCAAGAACATATCTTTTTTTCTGACTTCTGTTCATGACATCCCAGTTGTGACTGAACAGCCCCATTCTTTACAAAGGTGAATTTTTTTTAAATCACTGACTTTAAAAACAAGAAAAACCATGTGAATTTGGTCCAAGAGATTCCAAACAATACTTCTAATGAAAGAAAATGTGTATGCAATACTTACTATTTGCCAGGCAATGCTCTAAGTGCTTTATCTGTATTAATTCATTTAATACTCACAGTAATCCTATGAGGTATACATTAGTATTATCATCATTTTGTATATGAGGAAACTGAAGCATACTGAGGTTAAATGATTTCCCAAGATCATGCAGTAAATGACAGGGCTGGGAATTAAATCCATGCAGTGTGGCTCCAGGGTTTGTGTTCACATTCATTACTGTGCTGACATTTACGCACTACTTAGATGTGTTATCCACTGTTCCAAGTGCTTCATTTATTTTAGCCTCATTTAATCTTCATAACGGTCCTGAAATTTCAGTGCTATTAAGATACTCATTTTACAAATGGAAAACCTGAGGCACAGAGAGATTAAGCAATTTGCCTCAGGTCATAACACTATGAAGTGGTGGAGCCATGATCTCAATCAAGGCAACGTGGTACCAGACGCTTGGCTTTTAATCAAATACTGCCAAGTACATGTGGCCTCAAACTCTGGTGGAGCTAGCAAGACCTTGTAGCTCAACTTTCTCATTTTACAGATTGGCTGAGTTCCCACTCTGTCAACTAGAGATTTCTCCTTTCCATTTCAGTAACACCAAACTGGCAATATGAGGTCTCACTTTGTTTTCCTTGGCAGTTGTTTCCTCCTGGAGTAACTATGGTCCTTATTCCTTAGCCAGTCTTGCTTGGAAACAAACAGTTGACAGAGCTGTATTAAAAGGAAAGTGTTGGGAAGAGATATATGCCCTTGACAAGCTACAGAGGAGCTTGACTTGCTCTTCCTCTACCTCTAGATGAAGAGGAAGGGCTCTTAGCCTCCGGGTCTCCACTTCAGTACCTCTGTGACCTGTGGTTCTTTGTCCTGGATGGTTGCTCCTTTGGGATTCCAATTTCTGCTTTGAGATAACAGTGGGCACTTCTCAGGAACCTTCAGTACTCCTAAACACCAGTCCTTGTGCTGAGTTATGTTCTGCCTTCCTAATAGATTAACTGGCAGTACTAATCTCCATCAACACCAAGCTTGGCCAAGTATAAATCTTGAATTCTCGTTGATTGTTTATTGTTTACAGCCCTTGTTTTTACTGTTGTGGAACCTTGTTCTGTTCTTCATAATATTTGTTGTTGAACTCTACTTAGTGTTAATATTTGTTGTTGAACTCTACTTAGTGTAGGGTTAATTTTATGAGTATAAAGTAAACTGAAAACAGATCTTTGTAAAAATTAAGAGTTGGAATTAAGAGAGGGAGGAGGAAGAAGTGTGGGGAGCGTGGGTTGGAGGGAGGGTAGGGTGGAAAGTATCACTAAGTTCCTAAATCATATATTCAATTTGTGTACCTTAAATAAAATTTAAAAAAAAGAGTTGAATTCTGATCCACAGTCCTCGATGAATTTTCAGAAATATAGGCTAAGTAGGTCTAAGGAATCATAAAGGAGATTAGGGTGAGATGGGAGTTGACTTAGGCTAGTAGACTTGTGTTCTAGTTCTGAATCCACTGCTCCTTACCTAAGAGACCTGTGCATGTGACTTAAATTCTTCAGCCTTCATTTTCTTATCAATAAAATTCAAAAATTTCATAAGAATTTTTTATAGAGAATGTGTATTGTATATAATGCTTTTCAGTCCAAAGCCTGTCACGTCATGGTCACAACACAAGCCGTACAAAAGTGTTTTATAACCTGTAGATTGTCCTCCAATTGCAAATATGGGCTACTGTCATTGTATTATACCTGTTAGAACAACTTCATCTGCTCTAAAATGAATCACAGAGGATGAGGGGGTATCATAATCAGAGAAGGGTAATGGTGAATTGAATAGATGTAGTCATCAAGAAAGTTTATGAGCAGGGGAAAGATCAGTCTGCTAGGAGACTAGGGGTTTGGCAGGTAAAAAGACTAGGACTTGGATGTTGGAGTCAAATTAAGAGTGTGGGATAGAATGCCAGAGTGAGGAGTCTGGCTTCATCCTGTGCTCTCCAAACATTAACTCTCACTTAAGGCTGGGATGAATTTTGAACCTTTTTCTATTGACCTGTGCTATTCATCCAGACTTGGGAGTGAGAATAAAGAGCCTGATATTTGACTCAGGCTAGAAAAGGGCTGGAACTTATTAGAGGTGCTGAGCTTTCTGATACTCCTTTTGATGGTGCTTTCTGGAGAATAGAAATGGATGGAAGGGAAGATCTCCCAAGGAGAACCCTTGAGAAAGGCAACTGGGTCTGCTAAAGTGTATTTCATGAAGGATTTCTATAGGATAAACTAGGATCTAGACTCTATATAAGGATGAGTTTTTCCCAAACAAGCCTGTTCAAATATGGAAAAAGGCTTTTGCTCAAAGGTAGTGAAGTAAAAGAGACTGGAACAATCACATGGCAGGAAGGACTATTATATATCAGATAAAAAGGGTGGTAGATGATTTTAAGGTCTTGCCCTATGTTAAGAATGTATTAGGGGTAGATATCATGGTGCAGTGGGTTGAGCTGCCATTTGGCATGCCTGCATCTCATGTTAAGACTCTGGTTCAAGAGTTGGCTACTCTGCTGCCTATCCAACTTCCTGCTAATACACTTCGGAAGGCAGTAGATGATTGTGCAAGTGCTTGGATTCCTGTTACTCTTGGAGGAGAACCAGATGGAGTTTTTGGCTCCAGGTTTCAGCCTAGCCCAGCCCTAGCTATTATGGGCATTTAAAAAAAATATTTATTTATTTATTTGAAAGTCAATGTTACAGAGAGACAGAGGCAGAGAGGTAGGGAGAGAGAGGTCTTCCATCCACTGGTTCGCTCCCCAATGGCTGCAATTACTGGATCTGCGCCTATCTGAGCTTGTTCCTGGTCTCTGACACGGGTGCAGGGGCCCAGGGATTTGGGCCATCTTCTGCTTTTCCAGGACATAGCAGAGAGCTGGATAGGAAGTGAAGCATCCAGGACTCAAACTGGTGCTCATATGGTTGCCAGCACTGCAAGTAACAACTTTACCTGCTACACCACAGAACTGTCCTTATTGTGGGTATTTGGGGAGTGTATGGAAGATTCGTTCTCTCTCTCTCTCTTTACTTTTTCAATTAAAAATAAATGAGTCTTTTAAAGAAAGAATGCATGCATGAATCTTTGCATATAAAGATCAGTACTGCATAGTGTCACATGTTTGTGGAATCTAGAATAGTCAAACTTACAGGGGTGGAGAGTAGAATGGAAGTTGCCAGTGGCTGAGAGTTCAGTCAAAGCATTCAAACTTTTAGCTATACATGATAAATGAATTCTTAGGATCTTATGTACAGCATGGTGATATAGTTGACAATACTGTACTATATACTTAAGTACTTGAGATTTACTAAAAGGATAGATGCAAAATGTTCTTACCAGAAAAAAAGAAAGAAGGAAGGAAAGAAATAGGGGAAGGATGGGGCAAAGGAAGGAATAAAGGAAAGCAGCAAGAAATATGGGATCAAAGAAAGAAAAAATGGTGACTGTGTGAGGTGATGGATATGTTCTTTTACAAGTTTATTTTCTATATTTATAGGCAGATCTTGGCTAAAAAGCCCATGAGAGTATTTTAGGCATGGAAAGACTTTGGAAAAAAATGACCTAAATGAAAGACTTCTGTGAGTGAGAGCCCAGCAGAAAGAATGGGCCATCAAAGAAGGAGGTACCTTTCTCTGAAGGGAGGAGAGAACTTCCACTTTGACTATGGCCTTGTCTAAGTAAGATTGGAGTTGGTGAACTTAAGAGGCTTCCATAGCCTTGGCAACTCATGACAAGAGCCTAGGGGGATTACTGATGCCACAAACAAGAGTGTCAATTGTTAAATCAACAACAGGAGTCACTGTGCACTTACTCCCCATGTAGGATCTCTGTCCTTAATGTGTTGTACTATGTGAATTGACGGTAAAACTACTACTCAAACAGTACTTTATACTTTGTGTTTCTGTGTGGGTGCAAACTGTTGAAATCTTTACTTAATATATGCTAAACTGATCTTCTGTATATAAAGATAATTGAAAATGAATCTTGATGTGAATGGAATGGGAGAGGGAGCGGGAGATGGGAGGGTTGCAGGTGGGAGGGAGATTACGGAGGGAAAAAGCCACTGTAATCCAAAAGCTGTACTTTGGAAATTTATATTTATTAAATAAAAGTTTAAAAAAGCAGATCTACAGAGAGTGAGAGGGGAAGACACACATACACACACACACAGACTCCATCTGCTGATTCACTCCGCAAATGACCACAATGTCAGTGGTTGGGCCAGTGTAAAAGCAGGAGCCAGGAGCTAATCAGAGTCTCCCATATGGGTGCAGGGTCCCAAGGACTTGGGCTGTCTTCCACTGCTTTCCCAAGGGCATTAGCAGGGAGCTGTATTGAAAGTAGAGCATCTGGGACATGAACCTGTACCCATATGGGTTGCAGGCATTGCAGGTGGTAGCTTAATCCATTACGCCACAACACTGGCCCAAAGTGATGGATATGTTAATAGGCTTGATGTTGGTGATCATTTCTGTGTATGCATATTTCAAACATCAAGTGGTATGCTTTAAGTATTCAATTTCTAATGGTTAATTTTACCTCAGTAAAGCTGAATTTTTTAAATAGTATTTAAATCTGTGATTTGAATGTCTGCTAGGTCTGAAATGGTGGTAAGGGATTCCTTGGTGAGGGAACAATATAAACAAAGATGTA